TGTGTTCCTTTAAAATGAGGCAATTTCAGCTGAACAAACTTTAAGGAAACTTTAATCAAAATTAAATATTTCCTGGAAAGAAATCTGAGGATTTGATCACAGAGAAATGTGAAACAGCAACACAACAAAAGAAACAATCTCCAGCATCCAAACTGTCGGAGTTACTCAGCTCAGTGAGGTGCTGTGATGATTCATAACCTCCTCTGTATAATAACACCACCTCCAGCACTGAGAGAATGGACTGAAGTTATATTTATTATTCAGCAGATTTATGACACACACACACACACACACACACACACACACACACCAAACAAGGCTGAAGCAGCCAACTGCTCTTTCACTGTGGCTCCACTGGGAATTACTGGGTAATCTATTGTTAAACAGCTTTTAGAGTGATGGATGAAAACGCTGCGACCTACACACAATCAATTCATATCTAATTAGCTCGTATTATTTATGAAACTTTCAACAGGCAGGGTGGGGGGTCTCAGGGGAGGGATAGAGACCTCTGGTGCCACTGAGGGAAATGAGAGATGGGAGGAGAGTTTATCAGGCAGGGCTGTTGATTGGCATAGAAGATCAAGAAATGAGTTTCCCACCAGAGGGGGGCGGGGTGGGGGTTAATAATAGTAATAATAATAATAAGCTTTATATATTTATACAGCGCCTTTCAAAACAAGACAAGACTAAATTGAGGATGAACAATAAAAATGAATGATAAGAAAACAGATTTAAAAACATGGTTTTACACACACACAAAAATGATATAAAACAGTCTAAGATGATTCATTTAAAAGACACAGGAGGACGACTTATAATAGATTATATAATAGATTTAAGATGCTAGAAGTAGATTCAGACCCCGAGCCCCAAGAAAGCACACCTATAAAAATATGGGGGATTTAAAAGAGGCTAAATGAACTGATTTATACATAAAGATGAAACTAACAGGATGAGAAAGAAAGAAAGAAAGAAAGAAAGAAAGAAAGAAAGAAAGAAAGAAAGATGAGAAGAAACAGAGACTCCATCAACACTTGTGTAATCCTGACATCTGCTGTTCAGCTGAGGTTAAATCAGCTTTGGAGTGAGGTAAAAAAAAAAAAAAAAAAAAAAAAAAAGAGCAGGTAAACGTCTTTGTGTCTTTGTGTCTTTGTGTCTTTGTGTCATCACATTAGCCTCCACAAAAGTCCCCGTTCACCTTTGACCTTTGGTTTAAAGACCTCAGGAGCTGTGATGGTCTCAGGGACTAAATGATTTTCGAGGAATAAAAGAGAAATAATTTTCTTCAAACGCAGCACAAAGATGATTATGACCTTTTTATAAAGCAGCGAAAGCACCTTTCCATCACGTTTCAGCAGTGGTTCTGCCTCACTGTGACACTGTGACACAAATTCATTTTTTCACATGATGGAAAATAACATTCGCAGAATTGAGTGCATCATAAAACAGAGTCCTTTATGAAAGAGAATGAATCGAGACGTCACAGGTGTCAGAGGGACAGACGGAATAGGATAATGACTAAGGAACTGAATAAAGTATGAAATCAAATGTTTAAATCTTCCAAAGATTCACAAAAAAATTGTATCCAGATAGAGAAACACTGGAACCATGGACTTTTACTGATTTTTTCTTTACCTTCATTGATCTGGAAAATCAGATGATTTTGGGAATAAATACAGAACCATCTCTGAGTCTGAGTGAGAAGATGAAAGGTTGGCGGCATGGCTGCCAGGAAATATTTTCCCACATTACTCATTTGTCATTTACAATTTAGATGTAAAGTCTTTGTTTAAAGCACTTTTTGTTCTTGTATGTAATGTGCCTTAAAAATTTTATTTTAGTTTTATGATTTTTGTTTCCATTTAGCTTTGTCTGTCGGCGCTAAAATATCCCACAGAGAAAATAATGTTGAGATGTGCGTCTGAAACATTTAGCTCCAGATGCAGATTGTTTCTATTTAGTGCTGCAAAACAAATGTCGAAACAAATTCATAAAGTGACTGTATATACACAGTGCCTATGTCAATGTGATATTCCAGTTTTTCCTCTTTATTAAATTTTCTCTTTGTCATTAAGGGATGTTGAATGCAGACTGAGTGATTTCAAAATAAGGCTGCAAAATAACAAAATCTGAAAAAAGGTGAAGGAGTGTGAAAACCATGTTCATTTGCATGGTTTCCAAAATTGCATGAAACATTATTTTTTCAGCCCTAATTCAGCAGGAAAACCATAAAAACATTGATGACATTGCTGCTCTCTGTGAAGTGTTAAATATAACCTATATACTGTATATCTTTATCGTCATTACTGATTCAGAGGAGGTGATGATGGGTCTATAAAAACTGAAATAAAATGTTTGCTTCCTGTTTCAGCTGCTTATATGAACAGCTTACTGCATTACTTAACCTGAACGCTGAGGATTTTATGTCACTCTTTATATATGAATGCAACAACATCAACATACACCTGAATTACACCTGACAGCTTCTTCTTCAGAAATCACAACAGAATCAGAGTCACTCTGAGTGTCTGCTTGATGTAACAGCAGGTCCTCATATACAACACAAGAATCTAAAATAAAAAAACATGTACTGATCAACATGATGCCCCGTTACAACATCATCCGCACTGTTCCATTACACAGTCACAAACTCTCTCTGTCTCCCTGCTCGCACAGCTCCCATTCATATGTAAATCCTCTTCCTGTCTGTTCTGAGACAGTATGGGTAAATCTAGGCTGCTCCATTTTTCAGTATAATAGTGACTGCAGGGGGCGGGTGACACTTCAGAGAGTAGCACACAGCTTCAACTGTATGCGGAGGAAATCCTGATCAAACTCGGCCTCGGGGATAAACAGAAAACAATATGTAATCTGTGCGATCAGAGAGGCAGGTAGAACAGCGCAGCGCCCTCCCTGCAGAACTGATTACATCTGGACCAACGATTACAGCTCAGCTTCATGCATCAATGAGCTATTTTTAGAAAAAAGAGTAAATTATTTATTGCTTTGTAATATTATTTATTCATTCACAGATAAATTGTACACAAATGTTTTTTTTTTTATGCATTTGTTTGCTTATTTTAGTAAAACAATATCAGCACGGTTGAAAACACTTTGACATTAACTCTAATATAACATTAAATCAGAGGTTCACATTAACATAAATGGGGGGACAGGAGGTTTAAACATGCACCTGTGTGTGGGTGGAGTCATAATGAAGAGAAACCTTGTGTTGCAGCTCTTCTCCTGCAGACATGGACTCTAGAAATCAGCTTCCCAGAATCCCCTTTGTTTTTCTGTTGTGAACAGTCTCTGGTAGCTCAGGTGTGAACTTTTACCTTTTGTCTGTGAGGACAGACTGGTAATCTGCTACGTCATTTAAATGCTGCATTATTATTTACCCTGTACATGAACCTGATGTTCTCTGGTATAGAGCCGACACACAGTATGTACATATTAACTCAGCCCACAGATATAGGAAACAAATGACACAATCCTCATATGAGCCTGAATGAAAGGTTAAAAAAAATCGAATGTATTGGTTTGAAACAGAAAGCGACTTTGAAAAGTTTCATTTCATCTCGAGGAGCTGTTGCTTCATGGATTGTGTTTCACAAGATACTTCAAAATGTGTCCTTGACTCTGTTTCACTTTCACTGGTTGGGAATTCATTGGAAAATCAGCTGCCAGAAAAACCAGAAAACACATCACAGATGGAGAAATTCATCCTGACACCGTACAGCTCTCAGACATGACTGAACTGAGGCTTCTGTGGCTTTGAAAATGAGATTTCAAATGACACTGTGTTGTTATGACTAAATTCAGAACTAGAGACGGGCTGATACATCAGTGTGGCTGATGTTAGTGTTAGTATTGTTGTATACACCTCAAGGAATTGTTATGTATCAGCGGACACCTCATTACTTCCAGTTTTGCTTTCACGTACGGGGTGGAGGTCAGTGAGGTGGATGTGGTGGGTGTGGAGTGTAGGACATCTGACTTTACTTTATCTCCTGTTTTATTCACTGTGACCACAAACTTTCCTGAACCTTAAACATGAGTTAGATGAAACCCACAGACACAATAGAAAACATTAACTTTAAAACTGTTGGCACTGAATTTAACAGGGTTTTCATGTCCTATTGATGCCATCGAATAGTTTGTCCACTAGAGGCCACTGGCCATTTATTTTTCCACATTTGGTTTTTCGGATTTCTCACAAAAATGATTCATTTGAAGGTACGAATGAAAAAAATAGTAATAGTTTGGCATTTTTTGAATGCTTATTTGTTTTACTACTAACAGTTAAAGGGCAAAATTCATACCATATACAACACATATACCCAATATTACAATATGTGGTTTGTGTTTGGTGTCTCCGCTGGTTGCCTGGCAACTGATCCCAGCCAAGAAATAATCTTGTTTATAGCCCTACTGAACAGCATGAAAAAAAGAACATACAGTGTATAACATGTTAGTGAGTTAGTGAGTTTTCAAGGTGCAGGGAGCAGATTTTTGGACAGAGCCAGGCTAGCTTTCTCCGCCTGTTTCCAGTCTTTATGCTAAGCTAAGCTAACCAGCTGCTGGCTCATCCGTGTCTCCAAGAAATTATATTTATATACAACATTTACAGACTCAGGACAGAAAAACAAAATTCTTATCCAGCTGCTTCCAAAGATCAGACCGAACTGTCCCTTACACACCTGCACATCTGTGCCTCCTCTTGTGAAACAGTATTCACAATATCCTCTAACATTAACAATAACTACATAATGAAACAGCGACTGAAAAGTGGTGGTGCTGTGAACTAAATAACGATACTGCTGTTTTCAGCAGGTTTTACTGCAGCAGCGTAATGGCCGACAGAATATCGGACATTGTATCAGCACTGGATTTTTCAACCCCTCCGATATTGACATCGGTATCAACCTGACAACTCCAGTATCAGTCAGACTCCATACAGACCACAGGAAGTGCTCTCAGCGTCATCAGTGACATCAAAGCATTTTACTGATCTGAGAGTCGTGACCTTTGTATGTCACGCTGATGTTGGTGGACGGCGCCGTCTCCATCCTGCTGCGGAGGTCTCTGGTGTCGTTCAGGGGACACTCGCTGGGCGCCCGGCACCAGAACACCTGCTTGTAGGAGTTCCTGAAGTTCTCGGACAGGAAGGCGTAGATGACGGGGTTGACGGAGGAGTTGCTGTAGGCCAAGCAGTGAGCCACCATCCTGAACACGAAGGAGGCCTGGTTCAGGGGGAAGGAGCCGAACTCCACCCACAGGTGGACGATGTGGTGAGGCAGCCAGGACAGACAGAAGACCACCACCACCACCAGGACTGTCTGAGCAGTCTGGAAGAGAGGAGATAATGGGTAATATAATGTCATGTGATCATGACTGGACAGTCTGTGGAGGAGGGGAAACAGGAAGATAATGACGGGCAATATAACCTGATCAAATAAAAGGCAGGTATTTTATGGCTGATCCAGAGGACAAACTGGTACATTTCTTTTTTTCTTTTTTTTTTACATTTCTACAAACTAAATTATTTTCCCAACTAGACTTTTTACATTTACAAGCATCACATGAAAGATAAAGGGGCTGTAAGTCAACAGCTTGCAGCTATTTTTGTGCACACTTTCCTTTCATATCACAGACCTGATCCGTCATTAAACCATCCGTCATTAAAAGAGAAATCAGGGAAGCGTGGTCACCTCAGCCCCACATTTTCAGTCAGTGTGCAGCTCACTGAACATCAGAACTGAAATGACCAAACACACCACAAACCTTCTTTTTGGAGAGCTCTGATTTTTTGGAGACGTTCCTCAGCTTTTTATGCAGATGGTTCAAAACCTGCAATAAAAAAGGTATGGATTAAGATAAAGGCTGTTGACCTGAATGTCTGTTTCAGTGAACATTTATCAATTCCAAACACGTGTTGCTTTTTTACACTAGAACTTTTATGAGGATCAAAGCCACAGTTTGGCCTCATGTTTGACTTTACTGGATCTAAATCTGCTTTAAAATCATTCCTTATATTTAGATTTACTTATTTATTTACAGATATCCAGGTGAGGCATCAGGTATCCAAAAAAAAAATAATAATTTTTTTTAGTTCATCCACTGCACCATTTTCCCCTCGTTTTAATAATTAATATTTCAGTCAACATTTCTCAATTTCTAGCTGAAAACTGAACATTTTCACATTAGAGAGAAAAAAAGCACAGCTAACGTTCATGTGTATTAAAGCCATAGTTTGACTTCATGTTGAATTTTAATCTGTTTTAATCTGTTAAAACCGGTCATTATCATTGGGTGTATTTGTTTATTTCACTCATTGACTCACCTTTGCATAGCAGACAGATATCAGAGTGAGAGGCAGCAGGTATCCGAAAACAAAGGTGCACATCACGTAGACTTTCCTCTGGTGATCCGGCCAGACCTCCCAGCAGAAAGTGTTGTTGTCCTCCCGCTCCACGATGCTCTGGTAGTGCGCCACGGGAGCTGCCATGACCAGGGACAGGATCCAGATCAGCACCACTCCGAGCATGGCGTGCTTCCCCACCCGGATCGACGAGGACCTCCTGGCGTGCACGATGGCCACGTACCGGTCCACGGACATGGCCGACAGAGTGAAAATGCTGACCAGCATGGACACGGTGAAGAAGTAGTGGATGAACTTGCAGATGAACGCTCCCAGCACCCATGTGGGCAGCATGTAGATGGTGGACTGGAAGGGGACGCAGAAGAGGAGGTAGGAGAGGTCCGCCACGCTCAGGTTGAGGATGAAGATGTTGGTCGTGCTCCTCGGTTGACCCGGTTTACTGCGCGCCAACACCGTGATGACCATGGTGTTCCCAAGCACCCCGAGGATGAAAATCAGCCCGAATATCAGAAGAGAAATAAAGTTATCTACACCCATACCCAGGATGAGTTTAGCCGGCAGCCTCACGGTGTTGGTGTTGAACAGCTGACTTTGGTTTTCCACCTGTAGCTCCATCTTTTTTTTTAATTGAAGCAGAAAAGTTACGTGTTGATATAAAGGACGCATGTCCTCCACATGAAGCTCAGGCTGAGGACGGGTCTCTCTTGGTTGGACTGAGCTCATACATCTGCAGGCTGCTCCCTGCCTACATGCGCAACGTCACCGTGCTGCGCGCCACTGATCCCACCAATACCTCTCCACTGTCTGGAATAAAAGGACATCCTATATTACATACACTGCTGTCAAATTATCAGTCTGACTTCATTAAAAATAAGTCAATAAACTTCCAATGGCACATTTGCGCATCGTGGTGATATATTGAAAATATGGAGTAATGTGTTTTATGGAGGGAAATAAACCCACATATGTTTTCCAAAATGCCAATATTGTTTTTCTTAATATAATCTATTCACATATCCTGGTAAATATGCTGCACTTTTTAATGCAGTACATTTGAACAGAGGCAATAAAATATAAATATCAATGTATTCCACAATGCATTGCCAAGATTACATTGCATGTTATACAAACATATTTATATGCATAAGGGTATGATGAAATAATCCATCCCCACCTCCCAGTGCCTCTGTGTTTTTATTCTGCCTTATTTTAAATGTGTTGATTTATCTATAGAAACTTCAAGTAAAGTCTCAAACACATTTAGGCCATGTGTGTAAGTGTGTAATTCATTATATTGAACTTTTTCAGTGTAATAAGCATCTCTGTCGCTATTAAAAAGAAGCTTTTACTTTCCAATTTCAATCTAAACTGAACGGATTTGGTAATTTCCTGAGACAGATGGTGTGGAGTATGAAAATGAATTCTGCTGCTCTGAGACCTTTAACTTTTTATTCTTGTCCCTATAGATTAGTCAGGTTTCACTTCCTGTTTCAGTAATTCACACATTCTTCATTTCTGACATTTCTGGGATCAATGACGTTTAGAAAATTAAACTTTATAAATTTTTATGTTTTTATGTTCCATATGTATTACTATTTGGCGGTCTATGCCAATACAAACAACCATTGCATATATCTTATTTTGTAAAATTGCCTATAGTCTGATTTCAAAGGTGGTACAACTCGGATCTTCAAAAGTCTGAACCCAATTTTTTAATTTATAACTTGTTTTACAAACTGGGAGTGATGCAGGAGTTTTCCATACAGGAACCTAACAAATTGCATATAGGACCCAGAACCTTCATAGCTTTATCAGTACTAGAGATTATTATATTTGGTCATAACTCAAAATATTAAACAAACTGAAATGTTGACCTGATGATGGCATTAAATGAAAGGTTTAAGGATCACCAAATTTCATTTCCATCCAAAATTTCTTTAATTTAGCCTAATTAAATCCAAAAATGTCAACCTGTTGGTGGCACAAAAAGAAAACTCAGGGGATCACCAAAATCATTAGGCTTCATCCTCTGGGGACCATGAATGTACAAAAGCCATGACAATCCATCAGACAGTTGTCGAGATATTTCAGTCTGGAGCAAAGTGGTGGACTGACAGACCAACATTGTCATCCATAGAGCCAGGTCTGTACCATCAGTTATTAGTTATTAAATTTCATCCTCAGGGGAACATGAATGTCTGTACCATTCAAATGCCTATTCAAAAGTTCTCAAGACATTTCACAAAAATCAAAAAATGTCAACCTGTTGGTGGCAAAATAAGAAAACTCACGGGATCACCATCATTAGGCTTCATTCTCTGGGGATCATGAATGTCTGTACAAAATGTAATGACAGTTGTTGAGAAATATTCCGTCAGGACCAAAATGATGGACCAACAGACCTAACATTGTCATCCATAGAGCTATACCTCTAGCATCACTTATTAGTTATTAGAATTCATCCTCAGGGGAGCATGGCACGCCAGTCCATCCAAAAGTTCTAAAGACATTTCACCAAAATCGATAAATGTCAACCTGTTGGTGTCACAAGAGGAAAACTCAGGGGATCACCAAAATCATAGACTTGATCCTCTGGGGACCATAAATGTCTGTACCTTTAATTTTCATGAAATATTTAAGATTTTTTATGGAAGGACATTTTTGATTTAATACTTCTAAAATAATCTAAGAGTCAGTGATATAAGTAAAAGTGCACAGATTCAGTTTGGAAACAGTTTTATCATTTTTCTCATTTCCATCGACCGTCCTCGGCCTCCTGTTTCTGTTATTGATCTGCTCTGACCAGGTCTGGGAACAGCTGTATTATCATTATGCAAGAATGCAACTGGGGGGTGGGGTGGGGGGCATGACGACAAAGATGATGCACATAGTATGTAACCTGAGAGCAGAGGCTGATGTTATCTCGCGGTCCACTTGTCCTCAAACGATTGTACACATTTGAAGCTTTTATTGTTTACATGCCTGCTTCATTTACATGTTAATCAGGTAAATTCAACACAAAGTCTAAGTCTAAAAACCTAAAGGTAAGGATTGGTGATGATGATGATGATGATAGTGGGGGTGAAGATGGAAAACAATTACAGTGTTTGTGACTGATTCTCCCACTTTGCCTTTTCTGAAAATTAATAGCAGTCATTATTTCACTTTGTTATCACAGGGTTATTATACTTTTGGGAGCATGGCGATTGTTTTGTAATTGGTTTCTCAGGTCATGTCCTGAAGCAGCCTGAAGTTTCCATGGCGACTTTTTACTCCATCGACCGAGATGTTATCCCTGTTTCTGCCGGGGAGTGGAAAAGGCAAACTGAAGCCTGGAGACAGCATCCGAATTCAGCTGTTCTTGACAGTGTGATGTCTGTTTTAAAAAAACCAAAATGAACTGAGAGTGAACTGTCCTTTTACACTGTTGGTGCTATAGAGATGAAATCATTTCAGCACCATGGACAGTTCACTTCTCAACACTCAGTCGATTCAGTTTCCTACTTTGATTTGAGAATTAGATCATATCATCATAAAGATCTGTGTACTGTCGGTTTCAGTTTAGTTCATTTCCTAGACAACTCCAGTGAATGCGTGTAATAGGACAAGAAACAGTTTGGTGTTGAGTTAAAAACAAATTCCTCTTCCCTCATAGAGCTTTATAGTGAGTTTCAGCTCAGAGGACCCCGAAGTCAGAACAATCCAGACTCCTACACTATAGAAAACGGGAATGTTTTAGCTGACTGTTGGTGGTTTCAGGCTGCACTGGTGGGTAGTTGTAAATTCTCAGGAATAAAAACAAGCTATGCAGGGTAAGAAGGCAGATAAAGACTTACTCCATTAGTGAAGGAGCAGTTTATCTACTTCCAAGGGGTTAAAACAAGGTTTCATGAGAGCACATATAATGGTGTAAATTTTTCACATTACAATAGGAATACAGGTTTAAAAAAAAACAATCACATTAAAATTTTCCACTACACCCAGCCCACAACTTTACTGTTTTTATTCACTCTCACCACTCTCATAGAGTTGTTTCGGCTGCAGCAGGCAGCTGCTTTCATCGAGAAAGCTCCAAAAACCCACTGTCCACTGCCTGCTCAGGACCAATCAGCAGACAGTCAGCTGGTGAACATAGTGGAGCATTTAAGAGCCACATATTGGGTGGAGACCAAAGATGATATACCAAGTTTAGTATATCAATTCGAAAGAAAATTTTATTTACCCCAAGTTAGTTAATCAGTTATTGCAGGTTTAAAAGCAGAAATAGTGCATTCATTCAGTTACGCATGAAAAGTTAAACTCATAAGCAATAAAACACACCTTTGATCAATTCAGTACACTTGGATATTTTACCATTTACTTTTAACCTGTAACTGTCACTGATGGCCCCAGTGGCAACAAAAGTCTTTTGGAGATTTTCTAAAAGAGAAAAAATAAAAAAACAATATTTATTCCCGGTGTATTGTGAACACAGAGCATCAGGTGCAGTTTAACTGTTTTTATGATCTCTGCCTTTATGAAAACTGTGTGAGGTAAAAATACAGAAAGAATTTAATGTCAAAGAGGAAAACTCCTGAAGTTAATCAGTGAAGAACATCAGGAAATCAGGATACATAAAAATAGCTAACACAAATAGAATAAGACGAATGGAAAACGGGCCAATAAATGGTAGGAACTTTGAACTGGACCTCATATTTTGAATTAAGTTTCAGGTTACATCCCTGTTTATCCAGGGCAGTTTGAAATATGAACCATTTGTGTGAAAATGTTGTGTCTGAGGTCACCCTGACCTTGACCTTTGACATTTAGCCACAATCTAATCAGTTTTTCCTTGAGTCCAGGTGAACTTTTTTACCATATTTGAAGAAATTCTCTCAAGGCTTCACAAGGCCAAAACTGCATTTTGTGAGGTCAAAATACAGTTAAAAACGAGGGATACGATACGAGGGATACACATTTTGAAATGAAACTAGAGCAGTTTAAATCATATGAAAACAAAAACATAAAAGGACACAGCAAATATTCCCACATTTTAGATGCACAATTTCATTAAATTAAAAGTGAACTAGAATCACCTTCTTGTGGTTGTATCACTCCTCCACTCAGACTAATTTCAGGTTACATCTCTGTTTATCCAGAGTCAGAGAAAATATGAACCATTTGTGTGAAATTTTGTCATAATTGCTGCATGAAGTCTTTAGTAATGGTGTTTTGTGAGGTCACTGTGACCTTGACCTTTGACCTTTAGCCACCAAAATCCAATCAGTTCATCCTTGAGTCCAAGTGAATGTTTGTGTGAAATTTGAAGAAGGTCTGTTACTGATATATCGTGTCCACAATAATGAGACAGACAACCTGAAAAACAATCACCCATGCGGAGGAATAAAAAAAACTGAGCTGACTTCACAAAGAGGTTTTTCTGCCTTTGTTTCAGCTGACAGAGTGAGACGTGAGGAGTAACAGGTGAGAGGTAAAGTCACAGACTATGTTTTAACACTGAGTAAGTAACTGCTGAACATGAGTGTGTGATGTCTGAGGTTGTCAGGATAACGTATCACAGAGCCAGTTTCACTGTGTCGTCTCCCTCCCACCTCTGTGCTTTCCTTCACCAGGAT